ACTGCGCTTCAAGCATCATGGAAGTATAAGACTATGAGATACAATCAACAAACTATTGGATTTGTAAGCACAAACTAACTTCTGATATTCAAAATTGTGGATGCGCAGTCTCTCAGTGGCAAAAAATCATAATATGTTACGCATACTCCAATCATAGTTAAACTAAGAAATTGTGCTTACAGTATCCTCCATCCAAGACTTAAAATGAGCTGTGAGCAGTAAATAAACTAAAAATATAGCCCTTTCATATCAAAAAAAAAAAAAAAAAAAAAAAAAAAAAAACTCCAACAAATCAAAAAAAAAAAAAAAAAAAAAACAGAATCAGCTCAGACAAAGTATATACAAAGGAACCTGCATAACTTATAGATCAGCCCATGAGAAAAATTCCTAAAAAAAAGTTATGATGCACCGAAACCACCTCAAAGAGGTATGTAGTGTCGGACACGTATCGAACACAACACGCACCCAATACTCCGACACGTGTTAGACACGCCGACGATCATAAAATAAATTTAAAAATTTGTACATGCATACCTGACACAATTCTTAAATGTCTAATATTTTTTCAAAATATAATATCTTATACTTCAAATTTTTATTTCTTTAAAAAACTAAATTTATTATTTTCTCTCTACAACCTCAATCAATCGCTCGTACTCAATAGCTCATTCCCTAAGCATTCACATTTTCATTTATCTTTAGCGGTTTACAACTAACGTTTCACAATAACGCACGACGTCATCTCTAATGTTGTCAAGACAACCATCTTAACTTTAAAGTATGATGATGCTTGACATTAATGCTCGACACTATCAATTTCTACACCCACAATCTCATCTTTGTCCAATATCATCTCAGCATCGATAACCAACATCATCTCAACATTGAGGGTTGACGCACGCTCTCTCAACATCAAAGCTCGATGCCCATTGCACAACATCGATGCCCCAACTCTCGACAAAATTGTTGTCTCCCCTCTAGATGCCTGACATGACATCCATCCCCAACTCTCGACATCATAATATTAATCACTTTAAGCATAGACCCTTGCACCACAAGAAAAACATTGATTTCTCGCGGTCGTATCAGCCGGAAAATGTGTAAAATCCGCCCAAAAAAATAGCTTTCTATCTGACGAAAATCATTTCAACAGTAAAACACGCATCTGAAATATGCCTACTGCGGAAAATTATCATCGGAACCATTTCTAACAGATTTCTGATGGATTTCTGACGAAACTGTGAACCAAGAATGATGTACTTCAAATCGAATTATCGATGGATTCTTTCGATGCGGATTATTTCTCAATTATTCTTAATATTTTGCTTATTCAATTTTTATACACTAACTTTAAGATATAAAATTATAATATTATTTCCAACTCGTATCCTATATTTTCAATTATTATGTATCCCATGTCCTTGTCATATCTATGTCGCCATGTACGTGTTTGTACATCATAGGGTAACATCATTCCCTTATCAATATTGAGTTATTTTCAAGATATTATTGCTATTGGCCTAAAGTTTTCTCCACACCTTCAATTAAATCATGACCATAAAATTTCTATTCTCCAAGCTCAAACAAACAATATACCATACGAGTATGCAGGATAAAATCATCATGCTGCAGAATCTCAATACAAAGGTGAAACTTCATGGGCTTTGAACAATCATACCACATCCAGCAATAGGCTGTCATAGGCCGACAATTTCAAATCTGTTAACAACATATCCTAATAATTTTTTTCCTCTCAGAATAAGTTCCCCATCAATAAAAGAAACAACAAATCCAGTCAAAACATGAAGCAGTTCTACAAAAATTCAAAACCAGTCAGGAGTATGTTCTCCCTCAAAAGACTTGAATGTGTTGAATAGGAATATCTACTGCTCTGCTAAACACCATGGTACCAAACCGCTCAGTAGTGAAGCATTAAAGTCTGAAATAGAATTGTTTGGATGAGCAAGTCGAGTCATCACAGCTTGAACTGCTATTTCTACAACATATTGAGGACAAACCCAGCTTTAAAAATCCATCACATACAAAGCTAGTCCCTCATAATCTCTATAGAAGGCGCTATTATCACACAACTACTGAAAATGCCTGCAGACTAAGTGCTATAGAATCAAGCATAATATAAAAGTCTCTAAGCCATTTTCACATGTAAAATCTAAAACTGATGAAGCCAAACACCACTACTGAGCCCTCCTATGCGAAAATGCATACAGGATCATAAATTGAACCACACCTTAGTTTCTCTAGGTCATGTCCTAAAAAATCTGACAACTCAGCACATCTAATCCAAAGACACCAAAAATTAGCTCACTATAAAAACATATAGTTACTACAAATATCAACTATTCTAAGGGATGACTTGTCGATGCTTTCACCATCTTTGATTAGGCGATCCAAGAAAAAATCAAGAAAGAAAAGCAAACCTAAAGTCCATTTTGAAAAAAAAGGCACATAGCATCCCTACGGAAAGCCATAACAATTCATGAAACTTACATCAGAAGTACAATAAAAGGGGAAACCCTGATAAACATCAAAACCCATGTATCCTCACTTAGAGGAGCCATATCATAGAACAACAATAACATTAAAGTCAGGGAGTTCAAAAACTACTGGTCAAAACAGTTTCTGCATCTAAGGATGATAAATGGGCATTCAAAATATAGAGGCAGACTATCACCAATGAAACTTCACAGTGCATGCAGACGCTTCGAAGTTGGAAGTACGAGGTAGCTAAATTAACCATATCCATATTAGCAAAAGAATACTTGCCTCTAAGCTTCAAGTCATAACATAGCCCAGTTCAGCTCCCTTGATCTGCATCACTTCAGGTATACCCAAATGATCTCTTTCCAGGATAAAGTACTTTATCTCCAAAAAGGTAAAGAGTGTGCTTGCTAAATTTTAAACTCAGAATTCAAATTACATGTCAAACACTGGGACAAAAAAAAAAGTTAAAAGGATAAAGAGCTTTAGAAATGCAAGTATGTCTTATGTAGCTCTGACTGGTTAAAAGAACTTTCCCTGCTCATCTGCTTGGATCCAATATAAGGTTCACGTTTAACTTAGAACCCACAGCTATCATCTTAACCTAAATAGTGAGAAACTAAGGATCAAGAAACTAAGCTCCGTAGATCAGCTGTATGCTTTAATGTTGTCGCTTTCTGGAACATTATATACTTTTCAACCACTGACCAATCAACTCCCCATGTGAAGGACAAAAGCAACTTGGAACATGTTATACTTATATAGAGCAACTGCTTATGAATGATATCAGTTCTCATTCCCTTTTATTTATGCGTAATCTTTCTGCTGAATATGCCTCACTGAAGCTGTTACTGCCAAACTTGGATACATGGAGGCACCACAAATGCTTCATCTGCTTCGTGTATATGCTTCAAGTTAACGCAGAAAGAGAAAAATCATAGGAATAAAGCCTGAATTACAATCTCATAAGGAAAAAAATAACCATTAGCTAAATTTCAGGACCATATATAATTTCTCTAATAACCGGCAGGTATTGGAAAATTTCCAGTAAAGCCAGCAAAATGGGAGTTCCAGTCAACCAAATGCTTCTCTCAACGGTTAGCTGGTTTCAGTGAAATCTAAACTTGATCCAGTGATGATAGGTCTGCAGCAATTGCACCATAATTCCAAGAGCATACTAACCCAGCTAAAAGGGGTTAACCAATTTTAATACTTAGCAGGAAAAAAATCCATCCCGTTCAATTTGAGGAATTTTTTTTAGGCAAAAGATCCATGCCACTCAATGCAACTATAAAAGATAACTATAGAGATTTGCCACACACCTCATACGACAGTTCCCAAAAGAAGCCTTCACAAAAGAACAAAATGATATAATCTCTATATCTTGACATTCCAAAGAACAAACCATATAAATATAATTGAATATTCAACACATTAACTCCAAGCTTCCATGATCATAAATTAAGATTTCAATAAAGCACGCATTATCATAACCTAATCTCAACTATGTGAGATAAGCAATAATTATTCCACGTTTTTCCATCCTTTCATATTGAGTGCTATATGAGGTGCTAAATCTAGTTTATGCAAACTTTTTGTTACAACTTTTACATGGTAATCTGATCTAGCCATTTTCCTTCTTGATCAGTCCACATCTATTTCATCTACCCACCATATCGCTGCATCTTAATTATGCCCCTACCTTCTTCATGCCCAAACAACTCAATCTATTATGAACTACCATTTCTCTTCAAAAGGTGCTACTACAACACAATAGTCAAATAATACCAGTATTTTTCAGTATCCTCCATAAATAGTAGTACTGGATATGGCATCGACTATTAAATAGCAAACACACCATTCAACAGACCTTGAAATTTCACACTTAATTTAAGAGCAGCATGCCATGTTAATGAACTACCTGCATTTCTTGAATAGCATCTCATCACTATAATATTCAGAATCTATCTTGCTAGTCATGCAAGCAAGAATGGAAACATGTGTATAATCAAAGAGCAGCACCCTCAGAGAAGAAAGATTTCTCCTCAAGGAAATATTTTCTTTCAAAAACTCAAAATAATGGATCATGTAACTTTGGCTGGGTTACCTGGGTTGGGGATTTCTAAACCCAAGTGGACTTGCCTAAAAAGGAGCAGATTTCATAGCAAACTAATCAGCACCTTTAACAGATGTACATTCGCATCAAAAGCATTCACCTAACAGACAAACTTAAGCCATAAATGAGCAAACAGATGCATCATAAAGGAAAAATAAAGCATCAAAGATGTAGATGTAATTACTCAGCCTAAGGTCTCATATGGTTAATAGATAGCAAGACATAAAATAACATAAAACATGTAAGCATATCTAGACCACAAACAGTAAGCTATGTTGGTTTATAATGACAATACTCAAGTCTCAAACGAGAATGATGGTGGGGTGTGCACCAACCAATCAAACTAAAAAAAGGTCTAGCCCATTTTGATGGGAAATGCCAAAATGAAGTGCTAGCTTTTCCATTCAAATGACAAACTAAAGCAGCATCTCAATGACGTCCAAAGCGAGACTTGTCATATGCTCCCCAAGAACCAGCACCACCACCATAGAGAGGAGCTTTATCAGCACCACCCTAATAAGAACAAGAGAGAAATAATTGTAAAGTCATCAGCAGCTAGGAACAACCTAATAAATAAGCATACATAACAATAGCATAAGGAATTACTATACCAAATTAGCACCATATCCCTCCCCATATGGAGGAGCAAAAGTTGCTTCAGGACTGCCATGTTTCATCCCGTATGCTCCACCTTCAATAAAAAATCAATGTAAAGTTATAAAGGTCAACCCACTTAAATCGATTTGTATTTTTATTAGTTTTTCAAAGCCCATTAGTATCAATAAGAGCAAGATCGCAAGCAAAAAAAAAATACACATTGAGAAATAGAATGGAGCATTGGAAAAAAAATAGAATGAGTGTCTAGGATGAAAACTTTGCAGAGATTTAGCAATCTCCAGTCAAATGTAATCATCAGAAGACATAAAAACACTAATAATAAAAGCAGCAACAATAAAACAGTATGAAAATAAGTTCATCTTCAAGTGGCATAAAACTGGTAAGAAAGAATGAAGGTCAATAAATATAAATAAAATTATAAAAATAATGTCAACTGAGAATACCCAGCCGAGTTTTATACCCTTATAAAATTCAATTGAGATACCTACAAACAAAACATCCATGAAGAGTAATTTACCTACACCCCATTGCCTTCCATCACTATTGGCAAGATCAGCACGTAACTTTTCAACTTCACGGGCCATTGAAACCAAGTTTTTCTCCATTGCCTGCCTTTGATCCAGCAGTTCAGCGTTTCCTTTTTTCTCATAATCAATTGCAGCCCTTCAAAGTAATAAAGGCATTGATAATAAATTGACATACAACTTAAACATTAAAATGATAAAAAGCATGTGTAGACAAAATATATGATGTTAAATAACATGTATGGAGTACAAAAAAAAGCACATGTGAGGTTCAACCTTGCTCGCATAAGCTCCTGCCGTAAACTGTCAATTTCAGACCTCAAAGCTGGTATTTGCTGATGCTCAGCTTGTGCCATTTTCAAATCTTGAGTCAGTACCTTGACCTGCTCGTTAAGGTCCTGTCTCATGGCATTAAGCTTTTGGACTTCAGACCGACGCAGTATTACTTCATCCCTCAGTGGCTCGGTAGCCCTCAGTTCAGCTTCCAACTTCAAACCTTTCTCTACTAACTTTGAAGAATGAGCATCCTTTTCAGCACGTATATCAGCAATAATCATATTCAAGCGATGAATCTCCTCCTTAGCAGCAACCAGTTCCTGCTGAAAGGCCATTCTATCCTCAACAAGCCTGCGATTATCACCTACCAGCCTCCGAATCTCATGATGTTGAGCTTCGAGCTCTTCTTCGAAGACTGCGGGATGGGGAGGACGAGGAACATGACTGCGAGCATAAGGTCCGTCCGGAATGCCCGGATACCCACGGCGACCATCATCAAAAGGTTGACGAGGTATGCGACCTCTCCCCGACATACTGAAAATAATGTCTCCCACAGCATGTTAAGTTTTAACACAACAAACAAATCCTAAAAATATTTTAAAAATCAAGTAGGTGAGATATACATAGATTGATTCATACTAGACTTTCTTTGGCAAGTTATTCCAAAAGAAATGTTAAAACAATCACGACTAGAACTTGCGGGCAATCAATGTTAAGCTAACTAGCGAGGCTATGTTAAGAAACCGAGCTTGTACAAGAATGGAATGCTTGCTACCGTAATTGATAAACATGTTGTTGTTCAAGCCGGCCTTAGCGCCATCCAGTTCAAAACAACTATGATCATCCATAACGCATATGAACCATCTAAAGATACGACGGAAGATCATAAGCACAAAAATAAGACTACAATGGACTTACGCTAGGGTTTCCTATCCAACTCCATCCGATCATCCAAACCAAACAAACTAAGCCCTAAAAAAGCTTCAACAATGAAACGTGAGAAGACGCAACGTCTCTAACAAGATTAACAATAATAGAAATCTACGATAGGAAAAAAAATAAAAAATAAATGAGGGAAAGATCTGCGCTGAAAGGATCAAAGGAACTTCAGACGAACCTGAGAGAACGAAGCGTAAATCTGCGATGAGGCGGGAAGGAACCCTAATTCGCAGAATTTCCTCGTCTTTCTACGACTGATGATTTATAAAGCAGTTTGGTAGGTTTTTTTAAACCGGTGAGATATACCGCTCCTTTGATGCGTACTGGGCGTAGAGGATTACAAATACATATCTACACTCACATTCTTACCGTCTCTTATAATTACCGTGTCTTTATCGGTTCAAAAAAATAAATAAATTATAATCTAAAAAACAAAATTACTGTAATTTACTAATTTAAAATGAGAAAAAAAAAAGACAATACTATATGATTTAGGGTTATATTGGAACAGCTGTAGCTCTTTTTTTTAAAGATGATTATAAAATTATTATGAGAATATTAATTTTTTTTAAGCTTCGATAAAAAATTTTAATTTAAATAATTTAAGTAGGAGCAAAATAGAGATTATAATTGCAATTTGAAAAATAAAACATTGAAAAATTTATCTCCAAAAAAAATCTAAATAAAAATTTCACATCAATTTCATTTATGTGAAATATGGATGATATTTTATTTTTTTAGTAAATAATGATAATTATCATTGATATAAATAATTTAAGTACTTTAGATATCAGTCTTGCTCAAAGTGAGTTTATGTGATTGTATTTTTTTTTTTTTTAAGTCTTACTAATTCAATTAAATTTTCATATAAAATCATGATATTATTAATATGATATTTATTAAAACCTTAATAATATTATATAAAATTAGGATAATTACATGTTCATAAAATGCATGTTGCTAGAATTTTAAAAATCAATTAAAATATAATAGAAATATTAAATTAATGATCATGATATTAATATTTTTCATAAAAGTTATTATTTCTTTTTTATTATAT